GGTTTTTACATTGGAAGACAACCAGAAAAGTCGACACCGACACCGGTTATCATAACGAAAAATAACAGCTGATTTATCTGATTAGAGAGATAAGGGAAGGAGATAGGGGTGAGAGATAGGAGTGAGTGTTTGAGGGTGAGAGTTAGGGGTTGAGAAATAAGGGCGATAGATAGGAGGTAAGAGATGAGGGGTGAGAATGGGGTGGAGGCATGTATGTTGTATTCACAACGTTCAAAATAGAAATTAATTATAAATTTAATAATTTAAGGGGCCAAATTCTCTATGAATTGGTTTGGACCAGATATTATGAAAACACTAAATTATTAGCCAGAAACTAGATATGGATTTCTAATAGGTAACAGTGTGGCTTCCCAAAATGTCTGTGCACATCTATAGGCGAAATCATGCCGGTCACTGTTAATCGGAGGTACGTCCGATCGCCTTTAGTACCGTGCATCCTTGTGAGACGACATTGACTAAAGGCTGTCTCCTACGACTTCGGGTACCCCATCCCACAGTCAAGACCAATGACTGTCCCAAGCAACATAGACCGGTGGCAACTTGCCAATGACAAGGACTACAATTATTGCCAACACAGGTTTCAAGAGTAAGTTTGCCATAAACAAACAGCGGATAGATATTTTGCTATCCTATACTTTCGTGAAATAACATGACGAAAACTTCATGATTTGTACGTATTTTTTCTATGTTAAAATAATTTAGTTTTATGATAAGTTCTTCATTGTCAAATACAACTAATCCCGCTACTAGCTGTAGGATGATCTTTACAGCTAATAGAACGCCTGCGATATAAAATAACAATTTAATTAACAATTTGTAGTGGCGATACTAATCCTGTAAAATATACTTACCACGAAGCCAATAAGTCATTCTACTAATTTTTCGACAAAAAATAAAACAATAGTTTTGTTAAAAAGAATGTCGACAGTCGAAAAAAGTCGAGACTCGAGTGAAAATATGCCGATATGTGTTATCTTTTTTATCATATTATTATTGACAAGTCTTGTCTCGGTCATGAAAATTTTACTGGGGTTACCCCGGTATACCTTAATACACCGCATAATACCACAGATTATCTAATCTGTGATAATACTGTTGGCAAATTTGTTATCTAGATTTGTTGAATGACCATGGCGTGACGGGAGATCGGCAGTTAGCCGAAAAATGATAAGGGTTCGATTAAAATAATTCTGATAAGACGGTGTTACCAACCTAATTTAATTATCCAAAAATGACAAATATTGTAGTGTTTGAAGTATGAGTAGAACTGTACAATACATGTATTCCTCGCATTCATATCATACGACATAAATCAGTTATCTAAATTCACGATGTAGAGAAGATAAGGTGACGCCACTCCAACCAAATCAGTGGGTCAAGAAATTACGGCATTTTGGTAGTACAATTTTGTCACGTAGATAGCGCCACCATTCGCCCGGAGGCCGACTTTTACATGGAGCTAATAGGGGTTTTTACATATTATTATACGTTACTGTCATTTTTATTGCTAAATAAAAATATACTACATATAATTTAATTTTAATACAGGGCTATAGATTATATATTATTTTAAAAACCACAATATTCGTATATGTAGTCTAATTAAATGTATTATTTATTCTAATTCCTATTCCACAAAAGACGTTTATAGTCAACGATGACTATCCTTTTATAATAATATATATAATATAATACCACGTATTACCATTGAGTATATATACTCAATGGTATTACCTATGTACAAGAAAAAAATTGTCCTCAATCGGTACCCCTCCCCCCTCCTAAATCGAATTTTAAGCACCAGAGAAGTTTTTTTCAAATTGAGTTTATAGTTGTAAAGATCTAAAGAATAAATGCACGAAAATGTCCTTAAAAAAATGTTGTTCTTTATAAAACCATAAATGACACTAGACATTTTTACAAGATAAAGCTTATTCTATGGTAACTACAGGGACTTATAAAGTAGAGTATATTAAAACAGAGATCGGAGAGTTATTTAGGAAAAAATTATAATAATGCCTCTGACTTAATAAACGGAGCCTTATTCATTTGAGTGAACACACTTTAGCACGCTTTTACATAACCAGTGGCGTAAATTAAATCTTGCTCTGGGGGAGGGGGTGTCAAAAAATAATATTACCTAACCAGATGTTTCATAATGAAAAACAACTTTTTTTCCACCAAAAAATTATTATCAATTAAGTTGGAATATTATTTTCGAAAAAGAACTCGATAGTTTGATTTTAAGAAATAACGAAATTTTTGGACTTATAGTTCCGAAGATATTTTATTTCTTGCTTAAGTAGCCGCAATTCCCCTTGACACTTATTAATTAAAATATAATTATTAAATTATTATTTATTTACTTAAATTTCTAAATTACTTCAGAGTAACATTGTAAAAATGATACAATAAATACCTATATATATATATTACTTAAAAACAATTTGTTTTTGGCTCTGGGGGTTTGAACCCGAACCCCCCCTCCCCCGTGAGTACGCCACTGTACATAACAATAAATACATTTTTCCGATTAATTTAAATTTAAACATAAAAAATAATAATAATACATTTCACAAGTTTTCATAGATATATTAACATAAATATACAGAAAATGTTTTAACATGGTAATTTGAGGATTTTTTAACAATTTAAATATAAAAAATAATTAATACATTTCACAAAATTGTTCAAAAGTGTTAAATGTCAATACTCATTGTTATGACGCTGTATAACACTATAACGAATTATCTAATCAGTTATCACACACATTTAACATTTTCCCGCTGATATACGATTAGGAGTCCGTGATTAGAGATATCACAATAACAGTGTTGCTAATTTATAAAAACAAAATAGTTGTACGTAAAAAATATATACAGTGCGCGACAAAAAGGCACAACATTTAATCAAATAAAATTCTATATTTATAGATAAATCACGATTTGAGATTATCTTAAATCGTGAGATAAATATAGAATTTTATTTGATTAAATGTTGTGCCTTTTTGTCGCGACTGTATACATTTTTTACGTACAACTATTTTGTTTTTATAAATTAGCAACACTGTTATTGTGATATCTCTAAACACGGACTCTTAATCGTATATTAGCGGGAAAATGTTAAATGTGTGTGATTACTGATTAGATAATTCGTTAAGCAGCGTGCACACCAAATACGTTCCGTCACGTTACGTCGCAGCTTCCGTTGAGCCGAAAGGTTTGCTTATTATAAACTCTTATGAACAGGCGCACATAGGTTACGTTACGTTACGTCACGTCGCGCTTGGACGCATGACGGAGACGTTAGGAGAAGGATAGGTTGCTGTTTAGGGCAAAATTGACGGACGACGGTTGATGACAGCGTCTGAAATTTGTATCTTGCTTTTGTAGTTGCGGCAGCATGTTAAGCAATTCAAAAAACTTTTGCGAACCCATCCGGAAGTACTTAAAAAATTTTGCTTCATCCTGAAGAAGGTCTGGAAATAGAGTATGGAATTCTCCGTGCTCATTTCTTTTTAAATTTATGTTATAAACCCATAACCTTTTTTTTTTTTTTCTCTTCCTCTTCTGCAATACACGCCATTACAATAAGTTCCTCGTCGGAAGAAAAGTCCATGGTAAAGTTTTAATAACGAAATTCACTTTAAAAACTATATTATAATTAACAAAACACACATCACACAGCAACAAATTCAAACGTAGAATGACGATTCTCTGGGAAGGCAACACAAACCCGACGGAAGGAGACGCATCTAGTGTGCGACTTTGCACTGTTCCGTCACGTCACGTTCCAAACCGTCTCCAAGACGTATAGTGACGTGACGTAACGGAACGTACTTGGTGTGCGCGCTGCTTTATAGTGTTATACAGCGTCATAACAATGAGTATTGACATTTAACACTTCGTAATATATTATATTACTTCGTTATATTATTATATTATATTAGTCTAAAATATTATTTTATAGTGTTCTTGTTGAATTGAATTGTTCAACATATGCTCATCGCAAAAATATCATAATATTGGACTCTTTTCTGTAATGTTAAGACTGCGTCATTAGGAAACTATGGTTAATACTATAGAAAAATAGAAAAAGACTAACCTTTTTATGTATTTGAATTTCGTTTTCAATGTTGTTTTGGTTTGCGCCCGGGTTTATCTGAAATGCACATAACAATATTATTAAATACTATTACTTTTATTGTTTTATTGTATTGTTTTGGCAACGACGATGTACAAAGTTGTAATATTACTATTTAAAATTTTAAACTAACTCTATTTGTCTTATAGTAAATTCCCGTTGTCATTCTTCTGACCGTTCCGGTCTCCGTTATTTCCATGGTTTGGTGTCCAATCAAAATTTCTTTGTCACCCTATAATGAACACAATTCATTATTGATAAATGCTAATATTTAGTTAACCAATTAATGTGATGAACATGTTTATATTTATTTATTTATGCAGGTGTTTTGCAAGATATGGGTGCAACACCACACCCTATACTCAAGAATTGACTGTACTAATGTAAAGTAGAGAACGGAGACAGTTTATCGAGGTGAAATACATACTTCAGTTCTTCGCCTGCAGTGGCAGGCAAAGCAGAAACCTGCCACTGCAGTGAATGTGCATGCCAAGCAAATTTTAAACATATTAACACTTTTGAAAACTGGAAATTTAGTTAAAAAAATCGGTTGCTAGAAAAAATAAACATCACTTATTAGTTGTTCCGTAACAATAGGGACAAATCAGTATTATTAAAAAAAAATTTAAACATGTTTAATACACGTGTATTAAATAAAATATACTACATATTTATAATATATATATACCATTTTTTTTGTCTGAGCCCACGATTTTTCTTTAATCATTTAATCGATACCAAGTCATCGTATTAGAGAATATCGTAGCCAAAAGGTACTTTATAATGTTAAAAGTTAAATTTAAAAAAATATGTGTATCCCTTTTCCTTCAAAATCTAGAAAAATACCCTAAAAATTAACATATTTTTCATCTTGTAACTAAGGCACGTTATAACTTTTTTAACAGTGTTCGAATTAGTTGTGAATCTATGTAGGATATTTTTAAGTTTAAGTACTACCGAGTACCGATTTAAAGTGAAAAATCAAGAAAATAACATTAACCCTGCCCCCCAGAAGGATTGGTGATTTATTAGTTAACTCACTAATAATGTTAAAAATGATTAGCATTGTTCACAAGTAATATAATTACACTTTTAAATTTGTTTACAGAAACAATGTTTGAAAATACATAATGTCATTCCATTACATTACATAAATTTAATAAACTTTTATGTCTTTAACTATAAATCTGTCTTTCAAGTCTGTACAAAATATGTAGGTTAATACTTATTTGGTATGGTTACAGCACGATTCCCCTCAAAAAAATAAAAACAGATATACCTGTGCAATATTGCACAAATGTCATATCATAATATATTTTTTAAGAAATTACAAGTTACCTAGTTAATTGCTAATTTCTCGAGTTATATACCCATCGACTTGATGATCAGCTCTCCGTAAAATCTTTGAATTCGTCTTTCTGTATAGTCATGTGTCATTTCTTCTATTAATTCTTCAATTGCTATTGTATTGGATTCCCTTGTTCTTGTTGAAACACCAACACGGATCTGCAATTTAATTCAGTACATTAAAATAAATCATATACTAAATCATATTCTAAGATATTACTCACTCTGAGGTTGCTCCGAGCTTGCTTAAATTCAACCTCGCTTTATTTTCTAAAAACCTCAATTGATCTATAAAAAGATTAAATAGATTAATATCAGTTCTACCATTGATTAAAAATATGTATTCAACTGTATGAAAATGTAATTTATTTTTAATAGACCTTACATAAGAACTTACTAATAAACTCCCATACTTTAGGATGAGGCTTCATAATTTGCAATAACAATGAATGGTAACTTTCTAAATAATTATTTGTCCTAATGTCTCTCCTGAACACAGAAATATTATCAAGTCCAATATCTACAAACCAGAATCGATACAGGTAATCATAAATATCCATTAAGATTTTTAATATTAATTAAGACAAGCTAATAGTACCTGGCAAAAATGAAAATAGCAGCCCAGATGCGTAGACTACACCAAAACTCCTTCAAATGTGTTTATTTGTGCTCTCTCGTAATCCGTGATAATGGTGACATTCTCATATTGCAAAGGTACAGAAATCGAGCTGAATATGGTCTAGGACTATTGATCAACACATTGATTTCCAAGCCTGTTCCTTAATTTCCTCTCTTGTATGCTGTCATGTCCTCTTTGATGGTTATGAGCTTTGCTTAAGGTGAACCTATCGACATTTGCATCTGTGTATATCCATGCAGTAGATCGACAGCCATTAGTCTTATACTCTTTGCATCTCAAAAATCCAAAAATCATACAATGATGTTTAAACATTAATTAATTCATTATAACATAATATTTTAACAATTTATTATTTAATTTCCTTCCCTAAATTTGTTTGCATACAATTTTCTAAATGTATTATTATTAATATAAAACATTTCATTTCATATAGTGACTATTGATTAAACAACATACATTTGTTGCTCTGCTGATTTATTTCTGAAGTAATAGAATCCAAGATTGTCTCACTAATTCTTCTCTACGGTGTACTCCAAGAATCAATGTGTAAGTGTCAGGCCTTATATTTTGTAGAACTTGTTGTTATTCTTTATCAACTTGGTCCAATCTTGGAACTTTGTGAGAGAACAATTAAAATGTAATTTGAACAAAAATTATATGTATTTAGAAATAATACCTGGTAGTGCAGTCATGATCTAAATTTGTGAATTTGTTTGACTGCCTTCAGAAACAACAAAAGTGTAGAGTATAGTTATCTCAGTGGTCACCATTTCAACTCAGTATCCTAGAGTGGCTTGAGTATTTTGAAATGCGAACTACAAGTTTAATAAACACGTATGTGTGGCCACTGAGTTGTTGGTGTCTATTATTATAAGTTATGTTGTATAGACAAATCAGAATAATACAAATATATGCTAATTTTGAGAAATTGTATAGGATTAAGCTATAATTATTACCTGTTTGTATTACAATTACCATCTGTAGTTTAAAAGCTAGGAACTTTGAATTTTTTCAATATTAATACCGTGAAGTGATATGCTTAATAAGTCCCTATATCTAGGCTTGGCGAATATAGGAAACATTATAGACAAAACTGTAAAGTAGGAAAGTACTTTACTCTTAAAACTATCAACAAATATAAATTTAAAACCGAAAATTCGTATAATCGTATGTAGTTTCAACTTTTAATTCGTGTCCGAAAAACCTCAACGTTAAATCAAATTTTGTAATATTGTAGGTTATGCTATAAAAGTATAAGCAAAATAATAACCGTTTTACAGGTTATGTTATAAAAATCCAAAATAAAGGATGCGTTCTTATATTGGGTCTTGAGAACCGCGAAAAAGCTGTTCAAAGTTTAATGTTAGAAAGTCATGATTTCTAACTAATTACGTTATTGCTGAAAAGTTACAAAAGTGGGTTAAAATGGGTCGATTTCTTGTCCGTCGTTCCGGGTGGAATCTTGTGATTCAAAAAGACTTATTTTTCACCCGCCAGCAAAAATTAAACGTGATGTGTTTGGGCGTGGACGGTGTCCAGATATGAGCGGTACCAGGTTCAAAACTATTTCACCCACTACATCTTTTTTGCATTTTTTTATAATTTTTTTCAACTGTAAGTAGCAATTTATATTGTAAGAAATCTTTAATACCACAGAATACATATTTACCCTTTAAAGTACTGGATATCCCTACATTTGGTATTTCTCATAATTTTCGTAAAAGTACTTTAATTATAAATAGTACTCTAATAATGTGATAGTAAAATTCTGTAATAGTGAAATGTAATTTGAACGCTCGAAAATTTAAAGATAAACCGTAACTAATTGAGTGACGTCATTAATTAAAATTACTTAATACTTACAATGGCACAGGTATCGCTGGTGTATAGGCACTGATCTCAAACAAATACGTAAACAGGTAATTAAAAAACAAACACTGGTTAAAATCACCGTGACGCACAATTTTTTTTCCATATCAGAAGTTGGTTAAGGAATAATAAAACGTGTTAAAAAATCAAGTATGACAACATTTAGGATTGTGCTACTACAGTAATTTATACAATATGATCGTCTCATGCTAAATCCTAACACATTATCAAGTATACATATTAAATAATAAATAATGTAATTACTATAAGTTTCACATAGATCGCAAGGTTCACTATGTAATGTTAACACTAAGTAAATCAAGTACTTAAATATTATAGATACAGCTTGTTTATTTAGGTGTGTCTTAATAAAGATTTTGGATGTCATACTACCTACATTAGTTGTAACGTTTGTTAGTGAATTAAACATTGTTTTTTATTTAATATTGCGCTTCTATAAGGGCTGAATTTTTTTTTGTGAACTGTACATTTTCAAGCCGCCTCTGACGAAATAGCATGTCTTAATATAAATTACATTAAGTAAATTTAAATTACCAAGAATCTGTACAAGAATAATGTTTAATTGTTTTATACCTTAAATAGTTGGATTGTACGTGGTATTGTGTGACATAGAAAATATCAATGAACACTCTTGAAAATTTCTACATTTATTGTATCACTTAAATTTAATTACTAATAAATAATTAAGGGAGTTATACTTATTTTTGACTTATTAAATTATAAGTACAACAAATTAAGCTGTTTACTGTTTTGTCATGATAATAATAGCTATAATATAGTTAAAACTTAAAAATATAAATTAATTTTTAATAATACAATTATTTAGGTACAGTTGTATAATATCATTCACTATTGTCTATCAGCAATACAAATTCTTTATCATCAATACAAATGCAATACATTTTAAGTCTATTGATAAGGATTTTAAATATTCGAATATTTTTTTTTGTGACGTTGGTGCTCGTGCATGATGTCGGTGATAAAATCGCTTATCATTTTTCGGCCAACTGCCCTGTGCCCGTGCGCGACATGTCATACAATTAAAATTTAACAAAATTTTTATAATAAATATTAAATATTTTAATATTATATTAGTAATAACTACCTTTTTAAAAGCCAATTAGTTATAGCTAACTTTCCAACAAAATAGATCAATCAGAGCCAATAATCGGTAACATTGTTTTTCCTAATACCTATGTATTTTGTCTCAACAATTTAAATTGGAACAACTTATATACTTTTTTGTCTCCTTCTCTATCTCTACCTCTAATTAATTTTACATTTCTCTTTACAAACCCTCAATAGTTATCTTCTTTTTCTTCATTTATATTTTTATAATATAAAGGTAACCGCAAGAGCGCATCTGTGTTTCCATTATCTTCTCCTTTTACAAATTTGATTTAAAAATAATTATAACCAGACATTATTTCTGCATACCTCTGTAACAGCAATATTATCGCTTATTGCCGATTGCTAGTTACTCTGGTGTGAGAGCCGCCTAATGCATATTATTCCACATATGAATTACACGTCACCTAATTTTTCGGATAAGTTGTTAACGTGTTAACTAATTGTTCAGCAACATTCATTTCGTTGTTAAGATCTGCGTTATCCAATTCTTCGTCTAAATTTTCAGTGATTTTGTTTGTGTTAAATATTAAAATATTTTAAATAAATAATAATATTGCTAGTTGTGATCATTGTTTAGAGTGCCCGCTATATAGAGGTATAATGTATTTTCCCCATAACACTTGACGGGACCGAATAAAGGTCGTTACATAGAAGTTTTAACGTGTATTTTTTTTTTTTTGACAGCCATTCAAAAAGCCCGCGCAATTCAACCGCAACACATAACAATCAGATGGCGCGTCGCTTCATTCGTTATCACAACGGCCGTGGCATATCAGCATATGCTAACCTATAAATTATAAAACTTGCCGTCAGGTCTTTTCTGTAGAGTTCTCAAGTCATTTATCTGGCCGTCGCCCGTCGGCGTACATTGAGTTGTCATTTAAATAATTATTTTTTGAGTTGTCGGTTATGTGCGAAGAGGTTTTTCGGTTCACGATTTACTGTTTGTTTGATTTAATTGAATAATGTGTAGTGTAGATTATTGTTAACTACAATATTGCCGTTGTAAAATACTTGTATAAAAGTTCTGTCGTCTACCTCGATAATTTTGTCAATGACTCAATACAAATCGTTTAAGAGTAATCGTCATTGTACACAATTATTATTGTTGTACGGCGTGTTTTGTCTAGCATTACGGACATTCTTGTTGGTTTAATTTACCTTATAACACCTACACTATGAACGTATTACTTGTAAAAATTCTATTTCTGGTAATTATAGCTGTCGCTATTATAATTGCTACCGTTTGATGTGGTCTGTGATTGACTAGTCACCATTATAAATTTATAATATAAGGTGTTAGTTTGTTGGTCGTGTCGGTATTTATTTAACAAGAAAAAACTGTTTAAAACCGACTGCTTAACACAATAAAAAAAAATATTTTTGAGCGAGTAACAAAGTTATTTTGTTCAATATGCAATAACCGAGTAGCTACACTGACCTACTGGTCAAGGTGTATGTGCTAGCCAACAGTGGTATGGCCATTAAAAAACATGAATACATTTGTATTAATGCACAATTAAAAAGATTACAGGCCAGGTGACAAATGAAAAAAATTATTTAAGTCGTATCATTTGTATAAATAATATATGTATATATATATTATTTTAATGGCTAGTGGTGAATTGTTGAGTCTATTTCCTGGTAATTTTGCTGGACTCAAAATATTGCTACCATCTGCTAAACATATTTTCGGTGTTTTGAGTTAAAAGCTCTACATAATAAGTGTCGGGTCAAAAACAATTGCTTGCTTATCCAACGTATTGGAATTTTTAAACAGGCGATACACAACTAAACGCTTAAATGTCTGATAACCTGGCGTTTATCTTTTTGGTTAGGTTAGAATCAATATTTGTAGATATATAATTTGTTTTGTTGATTTTTTTATGGTTTTAGACTGGTACCATTTAATTGAAAAAAATTAATTTAAATAAAGATTCCATCATTCTTATTGTTTTATACTAACATAATCTTTGTTAGTTTATCTTTGACAATTTGTCAAAAGGTATGTATATAATTATAAAAAATTATTAAAACTTAAATGGGTTATTATTACTATCACAATATTTTTATTGTTATTATTGATATTGCGCTATTTACAATCCTTGCGGTTACTCCCATTTGATTATCTTGACTGGTTCGCCAAACCAGTCAAGATTAATGAATGATGAAAGTATATAAAGTAGTTAATAATATATTAAATTTCAATAGTACAAATAAAAAATAATTAATTAATGTTATTTTGGTCTGGTACTTTAGATCAGACAAACACTGTGTTTAAATTATGTAGATAATAATTTTCTACTAAGATCTCTTAAATTATCTATTTAGGTATAATATCTTTATAGGTTACACATTATCAGTTTTTTGATGTGACCCCTCTTTTAAGGTGAGCAACATGGAACATGGAATAATTTTTTGGGTCATTTCTTTTACTTAACTGTCCAAATCTTCAATTTTTGACTTACCGGAAAAATTAATACGTGGGGCTTATTTGAGAGTCCCTCGGATGTCCAATCACCTATTACTTACCTTTCATGCTGGAACATCCTGTAGATTGATAATTTTTTACTTGAAATGTTCAATATAAATGGTATGATTATTACTGCTATAATTTTGAGCACCTTTTCAGCAATGCAATATTACATAAAGACTAACCAATTAATAATAATGTTGTTTATAAAGCAACAATTCTTTATAAACAGTTGTTTTCGTTATATTATAATAAGTACCTACAAACTAGTGTAGACCAAACATTGAAATTAAAACTAGTGATTAAATCTAAGTGTAAGCTTTTAAATTACCTAAAATCTAAATGGTTCTTAAATAATGATAATATAGAACTACAAGTTACAATTATGACTATATTCAATACTTGGACCGACTAGATTCAGTTTAAACCATTTTTATATTTATATTGTACTATAAACAAAATAATATAAGAATTTTTATATTAATTTCTTATCCAATACAAAAATAAATGAAATAGTATAATAACTAGGTAATTAGATATTTATAAATTAGGTACTTGAGTACCTAATTTATGGCCCAGATTTTTTCCATATAATTTTAGCTTTGATGCAAAATAGTGAAGGTATTGGTTTTACTATGATGTGGGCTTTTTTTTATCTGTATACACTAACTTTTTTAATACTGGACCAATTCCTTCGAGTAGCAACTCTATAAATCACAAATTTCATCTAGTTGGTACCTACTTTGGTTTTTT